AGGAGGCGTCTAAAGAACAGCTCCCAAATTTTAAATGCAGCTGCTACAGCCTGACGTGGAACAACAGCAAACATGCCCTGAAGAATCGGCAAGCTTCGCCTGTGACAGCAGCACAGAAAACCCCTTCTCAGAACCAGCGGGAAATGGGCCTTTTACCAACACACCGCAACCTGCTGTGATGGAGCCCTCTACCTGGGAAATTCAGATTTGTAATCAGCTTGGAAACGACTGTCTCAAATTAGTCCAGTTTAAAAACCGCATTGACAATCATTTTCAAGGCCGATTAATATTTGATTCCGGGTGTTAATGAGAGCGACACATAGCACCCCTCAGCCCCAGATCTCAATGTGCATTACAAGTCGAGGGACCTGAGGGACAGAGCAGAGCTGTGATTTTCCGCCAAAACTAGTGAATCAGCGGTAGATCTGGGGATAGAACCTAGACTGTCCAAGTTCCAATTCGCTGCCTCAGATGTGGCTCCGAGTGCGGGGCTCACTCAAAATATTCTGAGCATATGATAAAAACAGACAAGAAGGAAATCAGCTGTTTACACTGGAGTAGATGAATGTAGCATGCAGTCCAGTCGTCCGCCATCAAACCTCTACGTTAAGAAAATCGTTTCTCCCCTAGATAGTTTTTTATGCCTTGCTTATCGTTGGTGCATTGGAGCATCTTCCAGTAATGCTGTAAGCCACGGGACAACGTATCTGTTACGTACTTGTCTTCCCATCCTCTCCCCAGAAGAGATTTCTGTGCAGTGGAGTGACTTGTTTTGGTGGTGTACGTCCAGGTCTTCTCTCTGTCTCTCTCTTTTGGCAATAATATACCAGTTGCTAGGTGTTTATATGGGAGAAGGCAAAGCCAAAGTGCCTTGCTCAAGGAGTGGATGATGGAAAGGTTTGTGATTGACTTTAGGTCCTGGACACAGTCTTGTCTGCTGTACAGACGAGCTTTTTACCCATTCTGTAGGGAGTCCCAGAGGGCTGTCGACCTCTGTTGTCATCCCGGAGCTTTAGATAATCTTCTCGATATCTTGGACCCAGACTATGACGTGCTTTGAAGAGAATGACTGAGACCTGGGACTTGATTGGACATTCTGTGGGAAGCCTGTGGAGGAAGAGGAAGGCAGGTTGGATATGTCCCTGGTACCCTGCCTCGCTGAGGAGGCACCCTGGGGTCTTCTGGTTGACGATTCATAGATATCCGATCTGGACGGGACCATTGTGAACTTTAACCTGACCGCCTGTGTAACACAGGCCGGAGATCTTCCCTGCGATGAGGAGTGGCAGCAGAGGAATTCTCTCTAGCCTTTTCAACCCATTTAGCCTACGTAACACTAGCCCGTAATCGACACGTGCTGCTAAAAGCACACTCAGCCTCTGGTGGCAAGAGGACAGGAACGCTCATGGTGCAAATGGCTGGAGCCTGACTCTGGAGCGGGTCGACAATTTGCCTTCAGATGCTTTTTGACAGAACATGGCCTTTGTTGTCAGGCTTTGTTGTTGAGAAAGACCCCTTCAAAGGAGACTGCCGTGGCTTTCAACCACAACACTTTGGGGAGGAGTGTGGAAAATAGCAATTCACTCAGCTGTTTCAGGTTTAGAGCAAACACCCCTTCAAAGTGGGTGAAAATGATTTTTTCTCATCTGCATTTTTCAAGGGTAGAGGGATGTCCCAGCTAGCTCTGCTGGGCATGCTAGTAAAAGTTTGAGGTAGAAAGAGAAAGTTCACTGCTGACTCGGTGTCACGAGTAAGTCCCTCTTCTCGTACAGAAGTCATTAATGTCTGAATATGTGTTTGGAAGCTTTGGAATAGGCCAATCTCCTCTCAAATGTTTGCAGAATGAATATTTTTGTGCCCTGCCCGTGGCTGCAAGCTTTTTTCCCTGCCTGCAAGGGCATTTTGCAAATCCACGTTAACATTTTATTACACGTTTTTGCAATGAATGAGAAAGACCCAAGCCTCCAGCCAATGGGAACTGGAAATGCACATGTAAGCCACTAGCTAGAGCTATCGCTACAGAATGCCAACGCTGGATTCCAGAACTCAGACTCTGAGTGCTGTTTCTTATATATCCTTAGTTTAGTGAAGGATATATCCCTAGATGGGGCCAGATCCTTGGAAGGATGTCCCAGAACATCACTGCTCTGATGGTTAGAAAGCTTCATCTCATTTCAAGCCTGAACTTGTTGATGGCCAGTTTGTAGCCTTTTGTTCTTGTGTTCATATTGGCGCTTAACTCGAACAGGGGAGACCAGAACTGCACCCTCTATTCCAGGTGATGTCTCACCAATGCCTTGTATACCGGCAATAGTGCTTCCCCATCTCAACTGGAAGTACCTTACCCTGGTGCACCTTGTTCACAGCTACAACACACTTAGTAGCTCCTTGTCATCCTGTGATCAACCAATACACCCCGGTCTTCCTCCTCATATGTCACTTCCAATTGATAGGTCTCCAGCTGGTAGTAACAATTCTTGTTAGTTCCTAGAGGCTTGACTGAATCAATTTCATCCCATTTCTATTACTCCAGCTTTTAAGTTTGTCCAGATCTTGATGTATGACACTTCAGTCCTCCATACTGGCAGTACGTACCTCCCAACTTTGCATTTTCAGTTTTTATTAGCACATCCCCACATTTTGTGCCCAGGTCATTAATAAACATGTTAAATAAGCTTCAGGGGATAGCCAGGTTAGTCTGTACAGGATAAACTTAAAAAACGACAAATGGTCTGGTAGCACGTTATAGACTAACAAAACATGTAGATGGTAGCATGCGCTTTCATGGTCACAGCCCACTTCTTCTGATGACCAGAGTCCACGAAAGCTCATGATACCATCTACATGTTTTGTTAGTCTATAACGTGCTACCAGACCATTTGTCGTTTTTAAGTTTATGTTAAATAAGATGGATCCTACAACTGACTCCTGAGGAACTTGACTAGTAACCTCCCTCAAGCCTGACAATTCACCTTTTGGTATGACCCATTGCTGTCTCCCCTTTAATCAGTTCCTACTTTACCCTGCAGTTCTCATATCACTCCCCATTTTATCTGATAACTTCCGGCATGGAACTGAATCAAATGCTTTACAGCAATCCAACTTCCAAGTAGATTCAATTTATGGCATTTCCTTCGTCTAAAAAAAAAATCCATTATTTTCTGGCGTGACCTACCCTTTGTGAAACCATGGATGTATCGGCCACTCCCTTTGGGTCCATAGATCTAGTGCCCCCAGCTGACACTGACATCAGCCCTTCTGGAGCTCCATTTGCCCCAGTGATGGGTGTGTCAAATGATGCAGCTTCAGCTTGCCTGGGACAACTTTACATTGTGTGTGTGTGTGTGTGTGTTCAAATTCTCTCTTGGCCTCACCTCCCTTTCCTGCTGCCCTAGCTGCTTTCCCTCTGCAGTAGCTTGTTCTGCATGCCGCAGCCTGGCAAGGATAGCCTCTCCCCGAAGAGCACACAAATCTGTCCACCGTTCCCTCTGAATCGGTCACAATTTGCACCTGTCTGCAGGCCCCCAGAAGGAGCATGTCTCCCCAGAACTGTCCTGGCAGACAGGATGTGCAGACATTGTCAGAGTTAATAGAGGAAGCACCCCCCTCCTCTCTCATTTATGCATGCAAAGAGGAGCCTGTTGGAGAAGCAATGGAAGGCCTGTGATTTATCATTACATTGTAATGGGTGCCCTGCTACTTGTGAAGGAGGTCAGCCTCCCGGAGAGATACCCAACCCCTTCTTATTAACGGCCTGTTCCGACTAATGGCTTGGGGTAGGGCGAGCAGGTCTTACAAGGAAGGTGGTAAAGAGCAGCATTCCTTTGAATGGAAATGGACGAATTTACCGGCACAGTTACACGGATCCGCTCCCCAGAGATAAGACGCTACATAGTCAGCTCCGCAGATAAGCAAAGTCTAGGGCGAGCGTGAGCATGCATAGTCGTTAGCGTGGCCGGAAGTCCAACCAGATCCCAATGCAGAGGGGGTTACACTTGGCTTCCCGGTGCTTGAATGCATGGAGAAGAGCTTCCGAGGGATTTTTAAAATGATATCACGTTGGTGCTGATTAAAATAAGACGCTGCTCCTATTAGTCCATTGTCCAGCGAAGGACTGGGGAACCTCTCTTTCCACACCCGCAGAACCCCTTCTGCTGTCATAGTTCTGATGTTCCTCATAGGGCAGGGGTTTTCAGACTCGGGATTGTGGCTCTCAAAGGCAAGCTCCTAGCTGGCCGCAAGACGCTTTGTTCATCTGTGCCTCCGCAGATCTGTGAGATCGTCGTTTCCAGCCAATGGGAGCTGCAGGAAGCCGTGTCCTGGTCGCACCGCTTCCTGCAGCTTCCATGGGTTGGGAATGGTGATCCTCTGGGCTGAGCTGATGTCATGTCAGCACATCGTCACAAGGCGCTAATCTGCCTTTGTGTCATCTCTCGGAGGGGAAACAAACCCCCCCATTTTTCACTCACTTATCTTTGCTCTGCTAACCTTCACACGGTCATCCTACAGAAGTTGAGGATCCAGGGGGATTTCGACCGGGGGCAGGCAGCATTGGCAGGCGCGACCGAGGCCCGTCGCCCCCTGCACTCTATACACTGAAGCTTTTCCATCATAAGCATTTAGCACATGAAACTTTAGACGAGGGAACAGAATTAAGACGTACGGGCTTTGACTCAGGCCCTATGTGCATAACCATGTACACCAGGGGTGGGCAAGCCGCCAGACCCAGCCTGCGGCCGCCGTGCCATCACCCTTAGCACAAAGCAGGAGCAGCCACTTTAAACAGCAGCCTGCTAATTGCTCTGCAAGCTGGGGAGGAGGAGAGAGCTTCCCATGCTGTACCCGCCTCCTTGCAAAATCCGAAAGCTCCCATTCGCCAGTTTCCGGCCAATAGGAGCTGAGAAATTTTGCTGAAGGCAGGGGCAGTGAATGAAACCTCTTCACCCCCTTCCTGTGCTGGAGCAAAGCCATGTGGAGCCGCTGCCCAGCACACAGGCAGGGAGTCTGCAGAGCTGCTGGCTGGAAGCTGCCTTGGTAAGCGCCTCCCAACCAGAGCCTGCCTTTGGCATCCCAGGCCCTCTCTCCCCCTAATGACGTGCCCCAAACCCTCTGTATCCCCTCTCCCCACCTCCTCCATGTCACAACTCCCTCCCAGACCCTGCACCCCGTGTTACACTCCTCCCCCAGCCCAGAATCTGCTCCTGCATCCATACCCCCTCCCAGAAACAACACCCCCTGTTACACTCCTCCCCCAGGCCAGAATCAATTCCTGCATCCATACTCCCTCCCAGACTCTGCACTCCCCATTACACCCCTCCCCCAGCCCAGAATCCACTCCTGCACTCATACCCCCTCCTGGACCCTGCACCGCAAGCTCCTGCCCCAGGTTATAACCCCCTCCTTCACCCAAACTCCCTCTCAGAGCCCACACTTCCTCCTGCACCCCAGTCCTCTATCCTAAGCTCCCTTCGACACTCCACTCTCTGTCCCAGACCCCACACCCCCTCCACCGAACTATGGCCTTTACCACTTACCAAAATTTTGGAGTGGCCCCCTCCATTAAAAATGATTGCCCATCCCGATGTACACAGTGAACAGGTTTCAGTGTGTAACAATTCACATATAAAGGGCCCCTTGTCCACCCTCCTTCCCACCTGCTGACTCCCCATTTTGCTTCAAAGCTTAGCCCGGGCTAACATGGACACTGGCTTCAGTTTCCGAGCGGCTCATTTCAACTTAGCTCAAATCCCCCCTTGAGCTGAGCTGCAGTAAGTGGGCTTAAACTGATCTGTCAGTGTCCACACAGGGGTTTAAGCCACTTCCATCGCATCAGAGAATTCAAGGCCAGAAAGGGCGATTAGTTCCTCTAGGGCAGTGATTCTCAACTAGAGGTACCCAGCGTCTTCCAGGGGTGCCTCAACTCATTTCAATATTTTACAGCCGGCTACATAAAAAGCACCAGCGAAGTCAGAGCAAACGAAAATGTCATTCAGACAATGACTTGTTTATGCTGCTCTATATACTGTACCCTGACGTGTAAGTACAATATTTATATCCCAATTGATTTATTTTGTAATTATGGGGTAGAAAGGAGAGAGTCAGCAATTTTTCAGTAGTAGCGTGCCGTGCCACTTCTGTATTTTTATGTCTGATTTTGCAAGCAAGTCGTTTCAGTGAGATGGAAGTTGGCATATGCAAGACCAATCCGGCTCCTGAAAAGGGTAACACAGTAGTGTGGAAAGGCTGAGAACCACCAATCTAACCTGACTTCTTGCGTATCACTGGCCACTTGATTTCACTCAGTTACCTCTGTAAGGAGCCCATCTAGCTAAAATATTTCTGACCTCATGGGACTAAACTATCATGTGCCACAGGCAGAGACCAGGAGAAGTTGAGGTGCGCCAATGCTAGTGGGCCCTGTTGTGGGCGGGGGTTGGTTTGGGGAGAGAGACTCAATTGATCTAAGTAGGTTTAATAAAATTTGTTTGGACTCACAGTCTTGTTGGACTGGTGCTGCTGTCTTGTGCAAACCTTGGAGACACTGCACAGCCTTGTCTATTGATCGTCTAGCTTCTATACTTGGCCTTGAGGTCATGGAAGAGTCATCTGGGGGATGGAATGGGGCCCAGACACCACAGACTTGGGCTCTGTCTACATGGCATGTGAAGTCCACGAGGAGTAGAACCTGAGTTAGCTGACCCAGGATTTATTAACTGAGGGCTTGAGCATCTACACACATCTGTAAGGAGTTGTTGACCCATGGATCCCAGCCTGGGGGCTCTGGAATTGACACTTAATTATAGGGACCTGAATCCAGCCCCTCCTATTACAGACTTCCTCGTGTCCTCCCTTGGTTTGTGGTGCAGTGTGGGAAAATGTCAGTGTCCAGAGGACCAAGCAAGTTGATATTTGGATTGTGGGCTATTTTGGGTGCACTCCTCCAGGGCAAGTTCTGATTTTTCCCACCCATGCGCAGAATGAATTTTATGTGCACTGATATGGAGGTGATGTATCATGTCTGTCTGGCCCAAGACTGTGTGGTGACCACAGGCTGCAGCAGGTCCCAAGCTGGGCATGGTTGTGGCTGGGAAGCCTCTCCCTACAACAGGGGGGACAGGGCTGGGGAGCGGACTCTCTCTGCACAGCCCCCAGTGCTGCGCAGCTTAGAGGGAACTCTGGTCTGAGGCCTGGTTTAGTGGGATTTGAGTGTAGACGGAAGCGGGGGGGGGAGACTTGGGCCTGAGTTTGAACCATGGGCTTACACTGCAGTGCAGAGAGAGCCTTATTTTCCTTCGGAGAGAGGAATGGCTGCACAGAGCCAATGGATAAAGAATCGCAAAATTGGTAGGTGTCCGCTCCCCAGGAAATGTGCCCCCTTTCCAGCTTGCTGGCGTGGAAGGGTTTCCAAAGCCAAAGGGTTTGGCCTCAGCTCAGCCAAAGCTCGCTCATCTCCTGGTCCCTGGGCGCGATGTGGCAAAACCGCCCGAAAGTGATGGCAGACTGATCTCCTGTGGGACAGCGCCTCTTCCCAGCCAATGGCTGCCCCCTCGCGGTAGCTGCCACCTTGTTCTCCAGCCTGGCTGGACTTAGAACCCACCAGAGGTCCTCCTTTCTCCATCAAAGTCCCTGGCCACTTACCTTCTCGCCTGACTTAGCCAGGATGGGAAGGAATGGTGTCCCTGGCCTCTGTTTGTCAGAGGGTGGAGATGGACAGCAGGAAAGAGATTGTTTGATTATTACCTGTTCGATTCACTCCTTCTGGGGCACCTGGCATTGGCCACTGTGGGCAGACAGGACACTGGGCTGGATGGACCTTTGGCTTGACCTAGTATGACCGTTCTTATGACTTGGTGCCCGTCTGTGTGTCTGAGCGCATACTAGGTTATCCATGCATGTGCTTGCAGCTGTGTCGATCTGTTCTCCCACCATCTCTCAGCCAACTGTCTGTGCTGGGTCTTGGGGAGTCTTTTCCCTGAGAGCACAGAGGAAGATAAAGATAACTGAACATTACACCACCTTGCCACGGGGTAATGAGTTCCACCAGGTAGGGCAGAGGGCACGGAGGCCAAAGGCAGGTAGACACCCAAAATCCCTTCTAAACTAGGTATCATGGAGGATCTAACGTTGACGGCCATGGTATTTTACGTGACTTTGTGAGTTCGCGACGTTTTCAGAGGACTGGGTTTTTGCAAACCCAGCTTCAAAATATTTGGAGGCCCTCATGTTTCTGTGGCTGCTGAAAGAAAAGACGGAACGTGCTGGCAGGGTCCGTGTCCCAAAATATCTGCACCCACCGAACGCAGCCGTGCTGGTGAGAGGGAGGAGTGCCCCTACCGGGGTCGCTTTAATCACCAGGGGGGCTCATCGTACAGTGCTGCTGGCTGTATGTGTGTAAGAGTGCGTGTGCGAGAGGTGGTGTGCGGTGAAAGTTGGTTACGAAGGTTGTATGAGCCCCATGTGTTGCTGCATGAATATGGAGAGTGAGGGGGGCTTTTGACCGGAGCTCTGGGAGGGTGGGGGAGGGAAGTGAGGGATGTGTTTGGGCTAGGGTGGAAGCTGTAGATTTGGCACAGACTGCCTCCGGTGAGCTGGAAGGACCCAGAGATGCGTGTGGGGCGGGGTGTGCACATGCGCGGTACATATTTGGTCCGTAGGGGCCATGCAGACATGTGGTGCATGTGAATGGTAGCGAAGGAAGGGTCGGGGCTACGTACATACCTGGACACATGTCTGTGTGATGGATTAGCCTGCGCCTGGACCCCCCCGGTCCATTTCCCAAAGCCATTCCCCAGTCTCTGAGATCCCACGCCACAGCTTCCTAGCTGCAAGGTTAACTCTCCGCCCGGTGGCTTCACCTTCACCTTTCGTAACCTTCCCCTCCTTACAGGGAATGCATTCTCCCTCCCGCCCCGGGGGGAATATGCCTGGGGAGGAAGGATGTGACAGTGGCCGCCTGATGCCCGACAACTCGCTGCAGGTTCAGCGACCGGGGCTTGTGATGGATGAATGTGCAGGGCCAGAGGTAATAAAGCGGGCCTCAGTCATGCAATCTTCCATTAAAATGAAATGCATACCAGAAATGAGGCATTTCTGCAGCTTGTACCATCTCCCACGGACCATCATGAATAAAAGCGGCAAGTGTGCTGCTGACAGATGCCTGCGCGCATAAAGGACAGTTCCTATACAGGCAAAGGCCTGGCTAACAGATGGACTAAAGATGTGAGATGCAGGAAGATTTACCAGCCGAAATCATTCAAGGGAATGGCGTATGGCGAGCCCGGGCGCTGCGCAGGAACTGGCAGAAGGGGCAGATGGAAAGGCAGGCCGGGCCTGTCCCACAAACCCATTAAAAATGTCACTTGTCTGAGGGACAGTATGTCGCACAAGGCACCGGCAGAGGTGGGTGGATTTGCCTCCGGCACTCCTTCTGCAAGGTCAGGAGAAGAGTTAATTTCAAAGGTTGCAACTTTCCGCGTCAGCCCCGGCTTTTGAAAGGCTGGTTTCCCGGTTCCCTCCCCTCCTGCAACCAGGAAAACAAGGTGATCTGCTGATGCCCAGGCTAGTGTGAAATATGTAGTGTTTGCTCACGCGCCCCATCCCTGCGGCAGAGCTCCGGGAGGGATCCTCTTCGTTCCCAGCTGGGCACACCAGTGGGAGTGGGCGTGGTACCATGGCATGTGTGCAGACGTGGCAGTGGGAGTTGCTGGCGTTGCAGCGCGTGGAGAGGCAGGAGGTTCTGGTGGCTGAGAATGGGCATGTAGGGTGTGTGGAGTAGCAGGGTGCATGCCTTGTGTGGGCAGCGCCGGTAAAAGGAGGTGCTGTGTGAGAGCATTAGCACAGGAGTTTAAGGACCTACAATCCAGATCCGCAGAGATCAGTCAATGGGAGTTAGGAGCATACAAGAGCTTTTTGAGGAGCTGGGTCAGTGTGTGCGGTGGTACGTGGAGGTGTGATCAACTTGCCCTGAGCCAGCTTGGGTAAGGACTGCTTAATCGCCAGCAGCCTCAGGTGGGATCAGAGAAGCCCAATAAAACAAACATAAGAGCGGCCAGACGGGGTCAGACCAAAGGTCCATCCAGCCCAGTACCCTGTCTGCCCACAGTGGCCAATGCCAGGTGCCCCAGAGGGAGTGAACTGAACAGGTAATGATCAAGCCATCTCTCTCCTGCCATCCATTTCCACCCTCTGACAAACAGAGGCCAGGGACACCATTCCTTACCCATCCTGGCTAATAGCCATTTATGGACTTAACCTCCATGAATTTATCTAGTTCTCTTTTAAACCCTGTTATTAGTCCTAGCCTTCACGACCTCCTCAGGCAAGGAGTTCCACAGATTGACTATGCGCTGTGTGAAGAAGAACTTCCTTTTATTCGTTTTAAACCTGCTGCCCATTAGTTTCATTTGGTGGATCCTAGTTCTTATATTATGGAAACAAGTAAATAACTTTTCCTTATTTACTTTCTCTACGCCACTCATGATTTTATAGACCTCTATCATATCGCCCCCCCAGTCTTCTCTTTTCCAAACTGAAAAGTCTTAGCCTCTTTTTAATCTCTCCTCATATCGGACCTGTTCCAAACCCTTAATTGTTTTAGTTACCCTTCTCTGAACCTTTTCTGTTGCCAGTGTATCTTTTTTGAGATGAGGAGACCATGTCTGTATGCAGTATTCAAGATGTGGGCGTACCATGGATTTATATAAGGGCAATAAGATAGTCTCCGTCTTATTCTCTATCCATTTTTCAATGATTCCTAACATCCTGTTTGCTTTTTTGACTGCCGCTGCACACTGTGTGGACGTCTTCAGAGAACTATCCACGATGACTCCAAAATCTCTTTCCTGATTAGTTATAGCTAAATTAGCCCCCATCGTATTATATGTCTAGTTGGGGTTATTTTTTTCCAATGTGCATTACTTTACATTTATCCACATTAAATTTCATTTGCTATTCTCTTGCCCAATCACTTAGTTTGGTGAGATCTTTTTGAAGTTCTTCACAGTCTGCTTTGATCTTAACTACCTTGAGCAGTTGCA